TATTTTTTTTTCTGAATTGTATATAAAATGTTTGGTTATATGTTTGTATGCTCTGTGCTACGGCTGTGGAAGCACAGGAGAAATCTGGTGTTTTACAGGGGAAGAATAATTAAAAGCAAATTCCGTTTTGGTAGGTTAAAAACGACATGGGAAAAATGATAGTTATTGGTTTACATAGGAAAAAGTAAAGAATTTAATTAGCAACCAGATTGTTAAAATGCAGTGTTCTCCTCCCATGCTCTATTGTCTAACTTTTGTGGAACAGGTGCCTAATTTTCCTAATGGGATACATTTTAATTGACAAAGTAGTTTGATTGCTTTACACCAATTTTCATTTTCTTGCTTACTTTTAATATAATAAACTCTTTCACTTTTACAAATTCTGATGCCCTCAAGAAAGTAATTAGGAGCAGGTTTTATCTGCCTGTCTTTTTTTATAAACCACTTTTTGATTTCCAGAACCAACTAACCAAAAGCTTGATTTGTTCTGCTGATGTGTGAGAGCCAGTAACTTTTAGTCATATGCACTAAGCATTTCAATCAAGTTGTTTGCATATTCATTCATTTCGGAAAGACTCTCAAAATGGATTACAAACATGTAATTGAAAGAGGAATAAAATAATTAAGGAAGGACAAGTGGAAGTTAAAAATATGCCTAAGTATTCACAACAGTTATTGGATCATTCTCATCACAGGGCATAAATTCCTTCTTATCGTTTCAAAGGACTTTATTCATCTAAAGCACATTGCCTTTCGTAACAACAGAAAGTAAAACTGTTTCTTATGTATGTGATTCTCTTTGTAAAGCTGTGAGGTTGGTTAAAAATGTCCATAAAACTAATCTTTGGAGCATTGCAGCTGGTCTGGAATTCTATAATATGATTTCTGGGACTTCATGGGAAAGTTGAAGGCTGAAGGGGAAAATACACAATGAACAGCTGAGAAAAGTTGCATTCTGGCACAGAATCATGCAAATGGGGCACATTCTTCAGTTTTCTCATGACGGATTGTCTCTGGAACTACTGAGCCAAGTTGCAGAAATGCTAATGAAGGAGAAGCATCAATGAGCAGTGTCATCCTGGGGGCTTCTGAAGGGAACAGAGTAGGAGACACAGGGAGGGGGTGAGGGGGAAGGAAGAAAGAGAGAATGAAAAGAAATGGAGCAGGAGGAGTTTTAAATATTAGGGCTGGCCCGCTCTGAAAAAGAAATGGAAAGGTAAAAATAAAACACAGCTGTGATGAACTCTGATGAACAAATCCTTTCTGGCCAATAAAAATGAATAAAAGCTCTTAAAGAATTTGGCTTTGGGCTTGGGTGAAGTAAGTGTGAGTACTACTAACCTTGGGGACCACCCTTCTCTTTGATACTTGGGGTAGAAGGGTGTAGACCCCAAAGCTCGCTAGATGCCAATGTTTGAGGGATGGTGTAGTAGTGAGGTCCTTCAGTCTGCCACCTCAGCGGAGGTAAGAGATGGAGATCCGTGCAGCAGCAAAGACTCAGGAGTTGTTGATGTATTAGAAACCATGGAAGCACCTGAGAGTGGTTACATAGGAATTAGGACTTCCCCCTCCAAAAAGGTGACAGGATCAATACCCCAACTGAAGTGCATTTACACCAATGCACAAAGTATGGACAACAAATAGGAGGAGCTGGAAGCCATTAAACAGCAGGAAAACTGACATAGTTGCCGTCACGAAAATACGGTAGGATGACTTGCACAACTGGAGTGCTGCAATGGATGGCTGTAAATTCTTCAGAAGCGATAGGCAAGGAAAAAGTGGTGGCGTAGCTCTGTATGTTAGGGAGTGTTTTGATTGTCTAGAGCTTAATGATGGTGATGATAAGGTTGAGTGTTTATGGGTAAGTATCAGGGTGATGTCCAAACAAGCAGATGATATGGTGGGAGTATGTTACAGACCACCCGTCCAGGATGAAGAGGCAGATGAGATATTTTATAAGTGGCTGGGAGAAGTCTCACAATAGCTAGCCTTTTTTCCTGGGGGGGGGAACAGACTTCAACTTACCAGATGTCTGCTGGAAATGCAGTACAGCAGAGAGGAAACAGTCTAGGAGGTTCCTGGAGCGTGTGGAAGATAATGTCCTGACACATCTGGTGAGGGAGCCTACTAGGGAAGATGCCAACTGGAGCTGTTTTTTGTGAGAAGAGAAGCACTTGTGGATGATGTGATGGTTGGAGGCCATCTTGGGCACAGCAATGACAAAAATAATAGTTTTCAATTCTTGGACAAGTAAGGAGAAGGGTCAGCAGAACTGCTACCATGACCTTATGGAGGGCAGACTTTGATCTGTTTAGGAGGCTGGCTCACCAAGTCCCTTGGGAGACAGTCCTGAAGAGCAAAGGAGTCCAACAAGGCTGGGCATTCTTCAAGAACGAATTATTAAAGGCACAGTAGCAGGCCATGTACCTATGTACCGAAAGATGAGCCAGTGGGGAAGAAGGCCAGCCTGGCTGAACAGAGAGCTTTGGCTGAAACCAAAGGAAAAAAAAGGGAGTTTATGTTCTTTGTAAGAAGGGACAGGCAACTCAGGAGAACTACAAGGATGATGTGAGGTTAAGCAAGGAGCAAATTAGAAGAGCCAAAGGCCAACTAGAACTTAGTCTGGTTACTGCCATAAAAGACAAATTAAAAAGTTTCTGTGAATATATTGGCAACAAAAGGAAGGTTAAGGAGAATCTCCATCCTTTATGGGATGCATTGGGAAAGATAGTGACAAAGCCTGACATCCAGCTTGGCACGAGCGTTGACCTGCTGAAGGATAGGAAAGCTCTGCAGAATGATCAGGACAGGCTGGATCAATGGGCCAAGGCCAACTGATAGAGGTTCAACAAGGCAAAGGGCTGGGTCCTGCCCCTGGATCACAACAATGGAGTCTCAAGCCCATGCAATGCTACAGGCTTGTGGAAGAGTGGCTGGAAAGCTGCTGAATGGAAAAGGACCTGGGGATGCTGATTGACGACTGAACATGAGCCAGCTTGTGCCCAGGCAGCCAAGAAAGCCAATGGTATCCTGGCCTGCATCAGAAACAGTGTGGCCAGCAGGGCCAGGGCAGTGATCATCCCCCTGTACTCATCACTGGTGAGGCCACACTTCAAATCCTGTGTTCACTTTTGTGCCCCTCACTACAGGAGAGACATTGAGGTGCTGGACCGAGTCCAGAGAAGGGCAATGAAGCTCACAAAGGGCTTGAAGCACAAGTCTTATGAGGAAGGGCTGAGGGACCTGTGGTTTAGTCTGGAGAAAAGAAGGCTCAGGGGGAACCTTATTGCTCTCTACAAGTGCATGAAAGGAGGCTGCACCTCAAATACTGTGTTCAGTTTTGAGCCCCTCACTGCAAGAGAGACATTGAAGTGCTAGAGCAGGTCCAGAGAAGGGCAACAAAGCTAGTGAAGGGCCTGAAGCACAAGTCAGGAGTAGCTGAGGGAACTGGCGCTGTTCAGCCTGGAAAAAAAGAAAGCTCAGGAGGGACGATATTGCTCTCTACAACTACCTGAAAGGAGGTTGTAGCTAAGTGGAGGTTGGTCTCTTCTCCCAAGTAATATGGGATAGGAGAAGATTTGAGCCAGGGGAGGTTTAAATTGGCTATTAGGAAATATTTCTTCATCAAAAGGGTTGTCAACCATTGGAACAGGCTACCCAGGAACGTGCTTGAGTCACTGTCCCTGGAGGTAGATGTGGCACTGAAGGACATGGTTTAGTAGTGTGCTTGGCAGTGCTAGGTTAATGGTTGGAGTCGATGGTCTTAAAGGTCTTTTCAAACCTAAACAATTCTGTGATTCTAAAGAGGACTGTACCCATTTTAAAAATGTGGGGGAATGGTGGTTAAGAACAGCTCTTTTACATGGCTCTAAAAATTGTTATTATTTACAGGTTTTTTTAAATAATTTTCCATATTGCACAGACTTTGTGCACTTCTCTTTGTAAAGAAAAGCAGTTACTTTCCCCCAATAAACAGCTGAGCTTTATAACCAGATATCCCAGAGTTCAGCTGTGAATGCTCCTTAAAATATTGGGCTTACAAGTATTAGATCTTGAAACATATTTATATTAGAAATATCCACCAGGCTCCAGTTTTCAGATTTTCAAAATTGTTCTGTTCTCACTCAAACCCCAGCCTAAGTGTCCAAAGATCTCAGAAGCTGGTACTATGTTATTTTGAACATCTGGCTGAAGCTTGCTTACAGTCAGTGTTCCTAAAAGTGCTGCTGGGTGCTAAGCACTTTAAAATACACCCCTCAGAACTCCAGATGCAACATGTGTTATTCAAGATTGCAGGAGGGCTGTGACAAGCTGTCAGCCACAGAGGAACAAAATCCAGTCATGTGCCCTTTGTCCTTATTGCTGGTGAGAATAGAAAATTAGTAGATGTCATAAGTGAGTGTGTAGAAAGGGGAGGAAATCAAACTCTCATTTTGGGTGAGTGGATGTGGCAATGGACTGGTGGGCTAACACCTTTGGTCTTGACCTGACTTGAAACCTCTGAGAAGTGCCTTCACCCATTTTTTCTGCCTGCCCAATTTTTGCCACAATGTATCTATTAACTTCGTTGAAATTAAGATAATTACCTCTTCATATGGCTTTTTATATTGTCTACCAGGATAAGGACCCCAGCTTTACCTGGGGTTTTCTGACACAGCCTTAGTGCAAGCAGAGATAAAAATAGTACAGCACGATTGCACAGAATCTGAAATCTGAAATATTTCAGAACAGTTTGGGAACAGCTGTGCTATACTGGGCTCACAGCAGTTAGGTGTGTTATTGGTGTATGTAATTGTGCTTTCATGAACTGTTTTAATGGTGATTTTTTACTGCTCTCAAACTTTGGCAAAACTTGCAGCGCTAGTTGCACAAGCAGATTTTAAACATGGTACTTGTATTTGCACATGCAAATTACTGGATGGTGTATGCCTGTCCACATACTGCATGTGTTTATGTTGCATCTTTTAATATTATTATAGCATCTATGGGCTTCAGGGACAGAGCAGAATTTGCGCAAGCACCAGTTTGCCTCATGCTACAGTAACAGCAGAAATCAGCAGAGAGATACAGGCAGGTGGGGGAACATTAGTGCTCTCCGGGCTATGGTCCTGTGGGCAGCAGGTTCAGGTTGGTATTAGCACACTGGTGACCTATTTATTGCCTACTTTTTTGGGTTATTTGATAGGAGACCTTTTGCAGATGGTATCTACTCAAGTGAAAGGCACATCTCAAAGGTACTTTTGTTTTAAATCCTTGTGACTAGACCACAAAGATCAGACATGACCTGGAAATGGGTTGGCTTGATAATGAATGAATGATGTGGGGAGAAGGGACCCACACAGGTAATGAGAAATTTTTCACCTTCCAAAAAATCCTGCTTTTGTTGCTGCTTCATTTCACTGATTTATCAGGTTGATGATGTAACTTCCTGATTTCATGTGGAAGGATTGCTCTCTCAGCCCCTCTGCACTGCTAAAGAAGCTGGTTAAGTGCCGAGATGAAAATTTGTGCTCTTTTCTGGAAGGTGGTTGTATAGTTCTGTAACTACTGGAAAGTACCTGTGCATTGGGAGGGGGAAAACAAAAGATATTTGGATTTTATTGCTTTGATTTAAATAAAAAAGAGATTTCTCTGTAAGTGCAGGAGGTTCTTTGGTACTTAAGAAGGTTTTACAATGTTCTACCCAAGCAGCACTGAAACAGTAAATAAATGAATCACAGCAAAGTAACGAGTATGCAGGACAGGTGATAACAGCACAAAGCAGGCTGGTATAAAAATAAGTAAATAAATATAAAGAAAAATCCATGCATAAACATGGATGAAAAAGAGGAACCTGAAAGTGCAACTAAGATGACAGTCTTGGTCTAATGAGAAAGTATGTGTATTGGCATCCAAGGTTTGATTGTGTATCTAATAAAAGCAGTCAAATAAGATTATTTATCTCTCAAACTTTCCTAAAGTCTGGGGATGTCTGAAAGCAGGATTTTTGCTCAAAGGGTCATCTCAAATACTGTGTTGAACACAGCAGTATGATTACAGTGAAGAATTAGGAGATCCTAAAACACGCTGACAGCCCCTAACATGCCTTATTGTGCTCTGGTGCTCTAGCTCATATGGTACAGTCCAGAGGACCACCCACAGTTCATAACAGCCATAATGGAAAATTCTACCGGCTAGTCTAGCTAGGCATAATTGGATGGGCAAGAAATTGAGTTTTCCAGCTTTCAGAGCTGTTTACTTGACCTGTTTTAACTTTAGCTGAGATGGAATAATACTTTTCTCAAGGAAATATTCAGGCATTGTCACGTTTTAGCCTAATAAATATCTTCAGGAGTGTCTCTAAGATGTTCACATTTCTAATAGCAAAGAATACAAACTCTTCTGATGCTATAGATGAAATTCACAGTAGTTGTACAGCTAACAGCTCTTACACTGAACCAATTGAACTGCTTGAAAGTTTCATAGGAACCAACGTGGGTTTTTTTCACCATATCATTTGACCTGCTCTCTCCCACTCTGACGGCCCGCAATTTACTTCTTCTGACATATTGTTAATGCAAGTCCTGTTGTGCCAGTGTCACCTTGAATTATGTTTATTTTGAAAGCTTGTGGACATCCCTGTTGGTCTCCTCAGGGAAAAGCACTTTTGGACTGACTGCTGGGAATTGGTATTGGAGTGTTTACTTTGCTCCAAATCCAGCAGCTCTTTGGTCTGAAACCTGAGAACAGGCTACCAAGATATTTTTAAAAACAAATGTGTCTTAAGCCATAAGACATTTTAAGCAACATACCAGAGGCTCCAGAACTCAGAGCTGTTATGTTCATTCAATAAAATATCCATTTATGAGCCAAGGTAATAATAAGGAGGGTTTGCATCAGCGCAGTTTGTTTTGGATGGGTTATTGTCCATGCTATCCTTGGGTTCTGACAACTTTCTAACACTGCAGTTGGTCTGCATATTTCAGCTGAAAATCTATGCCATCCCAGTTTTGGAGTTATTGAAAAAGCCATCAAAAAGGTGCGAAGCTCAACATGAGAAGACCTCTCCCTGATTGTGTACTGATGCTTTGGGTGTTCCTTAGTGCCACAATGAGCCTTTGACATCCTAGATAGCATGGCACAGATTAAGTCAGCCTTAGACTGTTCTGATTTACACTTTCGTTATAATTCACTTATTCGGTCCCCAGAATAATTCTTTGACCATTCTAGTTCTGTGTCAGTCTGGCTTGAGGTTCTTTAACACCGCTAAAGCCAAACACTATTTTCTTAGCATTACTCTCACAAGTGAGGTTATTGGAGCTGTTGAATCTTTCAAACCATATTTTTGCAATGATCAGCATAGCAATAATTTTATTCATCAAAACCTGGAACTGCAGCATAAAAGACAGTTCTTGGTAATTTACATTTTTTAAAAAAATCACACAGTTATAAACCAGGAAAATAAAAAATTTTAAGACAAATTGAAAACATTTCTAGAAATTGAGTCAGTACCAGACTCTCTTCTCCACTCCTCTGCCTAGAGCCACACTTGTCTATTTGGACCCCAGGTGGGGTACCAGGACACATTGGAAGGAGCTCCTCTGGTCTTCCATGTTGATGAGAGTTTCTCTGACTTAGTGAGAAAATTACCTTGACTTCATGGCAACTGAATTAAGCTTTCTGCAGCTAAATAAAGGATCCTATTTTCCAGGCTTTTGTATAGTGTCTTTGAGCACTGCAAAATCTGTTCAGATTACTAAAAATAATAATTTCATCAAACTGATTTTTATTCCTTTATATTCTAGTTTAAAAAAATCAAACTGAGCAAAAAGCATAAACTCATCAAGCCTTAATCTAAAACAAAAGTTTGGAGCCAAATGTCTGTGTTCAATCTTTTCATTCTGTAAACAACAGTGTCCTACTAGACAGAGATAACACATAAGGGTTACAGATGACAACACATTCATGGCATCTGCATTCATTCTGAACATAATGGAAAAATAAATGTGTATTTACCAGTAATTAACATTTTAACTAGTGTTCAATGAAATCCATAATGTGATTAAAAATATAAAGAATTCCTAGATTGCAGGAAAGATCAATTACCAGAAAAAAAGCTACTAAAAAGTTGTCCTGAGGGATATAATGATAATAGTAATAATAGTAATAATAATATTAAAAAAATAAATAAATTAAAAGTCCCCTCCTCAGCGGGAAATGATTACACAGATATCCATGCCGATTGGTCAAATGTCAGAGAAGGATCCCATATACCCATAATAAACAATGTAACAAGCAGAGCCTTGAGAAAACAAGCTGGTCCTCAAGACAATAATCTTCATTGCTAGCACCCATCCGACAGGCTTCCAAGGAGTGAATGAGGTAAGCAAGATAATAGAAAGACCTACACAGCCAGGAGAAAAGTTCCCCATGTTCTAGTTTGAGTGGCCTTCAAAGGAGTAGAAAGAGGAGAGGTAAGAGGGGGCAAAGCAGTCATGTCCCCCTCTCCCCCTCAAAGAATGAAAAAGAAAGGAAAAGAATCCAACTTGCTCCTGCAGAAGCTGCCTAGCGACACACAACTAATTACTATGACTCATCCCCTGTTTGCAGATCTTGTTATCAGTAAAAATAATAATAAAATGAGCCCTAGCAGTCTGGATATCTGCAATTACAGTGTGAATTGCATGAGAGGATTATATGAAGTGCTCTTGGCGTGGAGGGTGGGGGACCAAGGCGCTTCAACTTGAGAGCACTAAGCAGCTGCTTTGGGGCTTTGCACCTGCTGCTCACCAGGCTGTTTTCACCTCTAGACGAAAACAGGCTTCTCTCTCTTCCTGTCTTGTTTCTTTTCACACAGCACACAAATGTAAAAACAGAGATGGATTTTTATTAAAAAAAAAAAAGGGGGGGAGAAAAAGAAATTGTCTTCTAAAAGAAGTTTCACTGAAGCAACATGAGAGGCATCTTATGGCAGTGAAGTGGAATCTGAAGATGGAGTGCAGGGCCACAGAAACAGGCAAGCCAGCTCCATTTTAATGCAGAGGCAGCAGACAGAGTGCGATCTGAGATTGGCAAAGTTTCAATGTAAATCCAGGGGGGCAAGGGGGATGGGGCTGGGATGAGAAGAAAGGACTCTTTTACTGTTTCATGCTTCTAAGTCCTGCCGATCAGCATAAGCTCAGCTCGACATTCTGGGAATAGCAATGAGGCACACACAACAATCAAAACACCCTAAATCTGTTTGATGATTCAGACACTTCGTGCATCTGCACCGACAAAATGGGACTTCAATTAAATAACTTGCAGATTTCCAGAGAGGGGGGAAAAAGTCGGGGGAACATGAGGATTTTTAATTAGTAACTCTGAATACAAGCCGGTTTTTTAATTAGGTGTTTGCACTACCACTTTATTCTTAAAGGGAGATTTGTAAGCGCGTGGGATTGTTGTGAAAGAAGATCCTGGACAGTTTGTTCCTCACATTTTGTTGCAACCTGCATTTGCTCCTAAACAGCTTTTCTTTAGCAAATGAAACTCAGCTACAATTCCAAGCAAGTTGTTCAAATTAAGGCCAAGATTTTTTTTTAAAGGTGTAAGTGCATGCATACATACACCCATAAATATATAGACAGATATGTGTAGTGTCCAGAATGTGTTTCAAGACCCTCTAGGAGTTTTCCTGTGTTTCTATGATTCAGATTACTCCCCGTGGCTAACCTAGTTATATATAACTGTACTGTAAATAGTATATCTATAACTGTACTATACACAGGGTATAAACAAAGATGATAGTAAAAGTTTGTTGCAGAGTTGAATGAAATTCCCATATGATTTTACTGCACTGCAGCCACAACTTTTTGAGCAAACCGCTAATGACTACAAGCTTCAGAGTCTGAAAAACGATGGGTGAAATCCCAGACTCTTTGAAGTCATTGAGAGCTTTTCATTGACTACTAGGGTCAGGATTCACACTCAGAATCTCGAGTGTGCTCTGGCATGGCACAGTGATGTATATGTCTCTCACACACACACACATGCACAGTGAACCTGCAAAATCTTCCTGTGAAAAGGCATTCTCTCTGTGGCAGTCCATGATTTTGGAGCCTTAGAAAACAGATCTGGTCTTTTTAATAGACTGACCACTGGTGACACTAGAATGAGGATGCTTCTGTGTTAATTTAAAAAATATAACCAAAGAGGAAGCTGTGACATTAACATATTTTTGAATCTTTATCTTTTGGTTCTTGGACAATTTTTGCTTTGACGAAACATTTACAATGATGTGGAAGAGATTAAAAGTTGGCTTTCTCCCCTTGCCCCCCTTTTTCCGAACAGGGATACAGCAAGGAGATCATATAAAGAGGGACCATGATCATTTATCCAAATGCAAACAAACCTAAGTATGAGGATTTACCACAGACTGACTTTCTTTTTTAAAAATTTATTTCATGTGTTAATACAAAGACTATTTAGCAAAAGTAGAATGAAGGGATTTGCATATGAATAGGAACCTAAAGATCAACGAGATCAACTCATTAGGGCCTGAACATCTAAACATACGAAAGTCAAAGAGGCCAGAGCTCAAGAGCCGGGCTGCTGAGATTCCCAGTGACTAATCCAAGCAAAGCTGGTAGTTTTAAACTTATCACTATTTTTCCTGCCTTAACTAAAAAAAAAAAAATCCTTTGCCTGACATCAAAGCTCAGTCCAAGTTAAATAGCCTAGCGATTGTGTCTGGGACTCAATTTCTTGCTTTGCCACAGGCTTTCCTCATGGTATTGGGCAAGTCTTTTAGGAGGGGATTTGTCTCACCTAGGAGTAGATGTCTTGAAGGGTGGGATTTTAACTACCTTGTCATCCAGTCTCTCTTTGCAGTCAGGGTAAAAATGGCGCTTTCCAAAGGGCTGTTCCCTCTTACTGTACTATCCCCTCCTAAGACAGTGTCTAAATCTCTGGCTGCAGGTGCTTATCTCATCCTCTTGCCTATGCCAAGAGTGTCTCAGAGTAGCTCAAACTGAAATGAACATGGAGTCTTATGTGCCTCAGTTCATCATCTGTAAAATGGGATTAAGTGATTAATGCTACCCCTGTATCTCATGGGTTAGTTAGAAAGTGGAATATATTATAAACCATGAGATGTTCAGATATTAAAATAGTGGGAGTAATATGGATGCCATAAAAAGATAAGGTCCTGATCCAGTATCTGTGGCAACCAAGGGAATCTCTCCTCTGGCCTTTTGTGGGTATTAGATCAATCAATCCCCAGTGACATTATCCATTCACTGCAGAGTAAGTGAAGGTATGGCCAGAATTTTTCCACTGGCAGAGAAGGGAGAGGGTATGGGAAAGCCCTGACCTTACTCTATGCTTGAATAGTAGGAAGAGGGAAAGCACAAACAGGCTTTCAAAGCTGCCTACAGGATTTGGACACATCATCTTATTAATGTTAGCGGAAATTGGGCATCCACGTCTCTGGAAATTTCAGCCTCTGCATTTACAATACAAAAAGAGCCCAACCACAGAGAAGATATTTCCCTAATCTTGGCACTACTGCAGATTTTTGTTTGAGCTTCCTTGGATTAGACCTTTAGCAAATGGCACCACACAGATGTTACGGGAAGGACACATTTAGTCCTCATCCACCCCGAGGTGTAGCAGCCCAGTGTCAGGGCAGCATATTCTCATGGCTAGATTCTGAGCCTGTCATTAAATCTGTCTTTTGACCTTGGGCAAGTCACTTAACCTCAGTTTCCTCTGACTGTAAAATGTAGATAAAATATTCTCTGCCTCATGGCAGTGTTGCAAAGATTAACAGTTAGACATTGTTCCAAGAGCCTTGAATAAGAGCTGTGAGTGCATGCAGAGTACTGTCTCTATTGGATACTGCTTTCTCTTTCTACATACAGAAGGGCTGACTTTTAAACTGGCAAGAAGCCCAGGCCCGTGACTAGGGGTGTGCCCCATTTGAATGCACAATAACTACAGTTGCATGCACAAATTGGGTATCCATGCGTGGAAACTGGACACACAGTTGTTTACAGAAGAGTTTCGCGCTTACTTGGAAAATTCAAGGACTCCATTTATTAAGCAGGAAAAGCGATTCCACCACTCAAACAGTTTCTAGGCAGCATTTTAAACAGGTTAATAAGGTATAATATCATTCCCTCCAGAGACTGTAAGGTGGGCACTTTATGTTGACTGGAGTTACAATTTCACACTCATTTTACAACTCTTGTATGCTGTCTAGGTTTAAATGTGCCAGATGAGATCCTTTTGGGGAAGTTGAGAAGAGAAATGATCTGCAAGTATTTTGTTTGACGTGTGTAAATCAGGACTGAAATAAATGGCATAAGTGCAATTTGCCCTGAGATAAACTGGACTTGGCTGAGAATCTGGGACTCTTTATATATGAGCCCATAAACAAACCACAATCAGGACAGCATCACATGCTGTGTGAAGCCTCAGGAGGGCTGTTTTGCCAGGGGTTGAGCTCTGCTATGCTTACTAAAGAGCCCTGTGAGAGTTGAGTGGACCGGGAAAGCACTCTGATCTGTGCTGCACTGGGTGGTGATGTGCTGGTGAGCTGTGGAGATCCCAGCAGCAGCTAGCTGTGGTGGGAGGAAGGGAGGCTGCATACTCCCTCTGTCTGATTTCTAGGCATTTTCCGGGATCATAATTCTTGGAAGACAATAATCTCATGAATAATGTGGGAGTGAGAGAAAAAGGAAGAGGAAATGAGTGTAGAGAGCCAATAGCTAGGACAGTGTTATTTTTCTCACTCACACAGAACTCCTTTTGCTACAAAAGCTGAACCTTTAACCAGGAATATCTCATATTTCTGTATTCTCTGCTTTGTGCTTTACTGTTGTTGGAAGTATCTAGAAGAGATGACAACAAACTTTTCCATCTGCTTTCCTGTGCCATACAGCTTTAGGGCCAACCTTGCTCCAAGAGCATCTTGCTTACAGGCACCTTCCCATACCCCAGGCTCAGTCTGTGCCTCACACCTCAGCATACAAAAAGGAGATGATATTCTGGGATGACATCAGGCCTTGTTGCCTTATTTATGTGGAAGAAACAGGCTGCATAGGTCTCTCTTCAGGGTGGGTGAGCAGCATCAGCTTAGGATGTCCCCATTGGTACGGCTTATCTGCTTTAAGCAGTAATACACTAATTTACTACTGTGGTAGGAATGATTGAAATCTTTAGACATAATGGAGGAAGTTTAATAGGGTCTACTGAAAAACCCAGGTGTTTAGATCAGCTTAAAAATAATAACCTTCTACCCTGCTGAGCACTTTCTTTTCACAATAAGCTCAGCTTTTATTCTTAACCATAAAGACTACCTCAGACAGGAAATTATTCACGTGATTGGTCTTTACAAGTAGCAGAGGGTTTAAACTCAGGGCTGGAGAGGTCATTAGTGGACAGCCATGTGATTAACCTTTGCTTGCCCGTTTCTTTTCACACTTTGTTAACAGCTGCCATTATTGCCCTGTGTCTCAAGGAAGTAGTTTATTGACAGTATTAAAAATACATAGCTACAAATTCCAAAGAGCCCATCCTTGTGCAAAGACTCCAGTAATTTCTAGCCAGCTTATACACATGGAGCAAAGCCCCTCTGTTTCAGGTGAAAGGGAATCCATAAATAAATTTGACTATTAACACCATATTTGAGTTAATATATTTGTTTTACTCATCACAGGACCTGTTCCGCAGCCTGCCTCAGAAAGTTTTATACCACAGAAAAAGCTAAGGTTCAGTTAAACAGTAGTGTTAATGCTTGTCCTAATGTACCATAGCTTAATAGTAATCACACAGGACACTCAGTTATCTTTTTGAGTAGAGATGGGCATTCAAAGAACATTGAAAACTTGATCAAAATTATGCAGTCTGTACTTCCAGAGCTGTCTGTTTTGATTTTGAGATAATTTGTGTATAACTTATTTGGTTTCAAACCAAAAGAGCAACCCTGTGTTTCTGTTCTGGACTGAACATGCTGTGCCCCTGGAGCTCACATTGCTCTGGGCAAGGGACAGCTAGAGAGCAGTGTGTGTTACTCTGTCCTCATACCCATGTGTGATAAGGTCCCCTCCAACACACACAGACCCAGAGGGTCTTGTGAATGGTAGGATC